CTTTTTTTTTGCCAGGCCTGGGGCTTGAACTCGGGGCGTGGGCACTGTTGATTTTCTTTTTGCTCAAGGCTAGTATTCTATCACTTGAGTCACAGCACCACTTCTGGCTTTTTCTGTTTATGTGGTACTGAGGAATCGAACCCAGGGCTTCATGCATGCTAGGCAAGAACTCTACCACTAAGCCACATTCCCAGCCCCAAGCTTGTTTTTTTTTTTTTTTTTTGATAGTTAATTGGAGATAAAATCTCACATACTTTCTTTTCCAGGCTTGCTTCAAAACAAGATCCTCAGATCTCAGCCTCCCGAGTAGCTGGGATTACAGGTGTGAGCCACTGGCACCTGGTTCTGAATGCTTATTTGTCACCAGTGACTGTTAGGCAGTTTCATGTACGATATCCCTCCAGAATTTCTAACTAACCAATGAATTTGGCCTTCTTCTCTTTCTCCTTCTCCTTCTCCTTCTCCTTCTCCTTCTCCTTCTCCTTCTTCTTCTTCTTCTTTCAAACCTCAAAGGGTTGAATAACTTGCCCCACATCAAGAGAAAAGCAAACAGCTGTCAGAGCTAAGTATGAAGTTTGAACAAAGGAACCCCTAACATTGACTCCAGTGCAGAACTCAACCCAGGAAGTTCTATTTAATATCTACCAACTTTACCCATTAGACCTCCCACCCCAAGGCGATGTGTAACCATGACTTCCTGGCCACTGGAGGTCATGATCCTAGAAGAAAGCGGCGTGTTTCAAGTCACTTAAGCAAACCGTCAGGAAACTCACCAGCATACACATACAGTTACAAGTTCTATTCATCTCTTCCGTAAGAACAGAATGTAGAATCATCATCAAATTATAGTGTCTTCCCATGAGAGGCTCCGTGCCTATGTAATTACAGCCTCCAACCCTGCGCGTGGCAGCTTCTCCCATCTTCTCCAGTCTTAATGAAGGTTTCTCTGCTTTTCTAATCTCTCTTTCTCTTTCCCTGTCTCTCCCCCCCCTCTGTTTCTCATGTGCGCGCACGCGCACGTGTGTGTGTGTGCGCGCGCCCCCGTGCTGTTACTGGGGCTTGAACTCAGGGCCTTGCAATTCAAGCTTAGCTTTTTCACTCAAGGCTGTTGCTCTACCACTTGAGCTATATACACTCCACTTCCAATATTTTGCTGGTTAATTGAACATAACAATCTTATGGACTTTTCTGCCCAGGCTGGCTTTGAATCACGATCCTCATATTTCAGCTTCCCGAGTAGCTAAAGTTACAGGCTTGAGCCAGTTTAGCCAGGCACTCAGTTTAGCATGTACATCTTTGTGACCAAGAATCTTCTGACCTTCTGGGGATGCCATCTTGGCTGAAGAGACACAATAATAATAAAGTGAACTGTAAGAAAGAAAGAAAGAAAGAAAGAAAGAAAGAAAGAAAGAAAGAAAGAAAGAAAGAAAGAAAGAAAGAAAGAAAGGAAGGAAGGAAGGAAGGAAGGAAGGAAGGAAGGAACATCTTTTGCTGCCAACTACTGGAGGTTGAGGTTGAGGGGATTGTAGTTCAAGGCCAGCCCAGACAAGAAAATGTCCTCAAGCCATTTTGAGGCTGACGAGCTGGACGCCTGGTGTGCACCTGTCACCTGAGTAACTGGGAAGCACAGGTGGATGACGCCCAGGTGTGATCCTACCTCAAAAATAAGCAAAAATCTAGGCTGGAGGCATGGCTCAGCAGTAAAAGTGCCAGCTGGAGGTCTAGTGCTCAAAACCTCAATACTTCAAAAAACTAAACCAAAACAAAAGAAAAATGCATGAAACCTTTTGAAGTTACAGTTAAGCAACAATGAATATGTAATAATCATGTTACATATAGGGTCATTTCTAGACTAAATTTCTGGAAAGGAGATGAAGGGTCACAGAGCCAGGCATTTGTCACTATTAAAGCATTTGTAATTTTGGTCAATAGGGCCCAATTGTCCCCAGCAGGTGACACCAGTTGGCTTTCCCCACCAAGAATCTATGTTGTGTGTTTCTCCACAATTTAAACTGAAACCGCAGGGGTGAGCATTTAAGCACTCATTTCAGATATAGTGGAACAAATGTGATTTGCACATTGATCTCACATTGAGTTCACGTTCTTCAACAGTTTCATTTTAAAATACATTCCTTGAAGTACAAACAGCACGCAGCATTAAGGTGCTAAATAAATACGACCACACGTGTCGCATCAATGTGCAGAATTTTTTTTTCCGTTTTATTTTTAATTTTGTTTTTATTGTTTGTGCCAGAACTGGGGTCTTGAACTCAGGGACTGGGCACTGCCTTTTAGTTTTGTTAGTTCAAAGCTAGTGCCTTACTACTTGAGCTACAGCTCCATTTCCCGGTTGTCGGTGGTTAACTGGAGATAAGAGTCTCACAGACTTTCCTGCCCATGCTGGCTTTAGACCGTGATCCTCAGACCTCAGCCTTCAGGGCTTGGGTTACAGGAGTGAGCCACTGTTCACTAAGACAGTAACCATCTTTGAATGAGCTCAAAGTCAGACAAGAAGAAGGACGACTTAGGGAGGCGGCCTGGAGCCCCAGGTCAGGGTTTTTATGCATACTTTCCATCCACAGCCTCAGAGGATGGGAGAGGAATGAGATTTTGGTTCATGACAGAGCTATTTAACCTGGCACTACTGTATCAGTTCTGAAAATACTGAAATGCTTTAAACCCATTGGTAAATCATCAGTGAGAACCTCTAAGCATCCTTCTCCTCCCTTCCCCTCATCCATGCCTGCATCCCTCAGCACCACCCCACCCCCCCAAAATCACACACAGGCCTTCTGATTGGTCCAGTTAGTGTGTTCTGATTGGACAGAGCCAATGGGCTTCAGGTAACCAGGATTGCTTGTGGCAGTTAAAAATCTTTTAGAGAGTCCTGCGCTGGAGACTCACACCTGTAATCCCAGCTACTCAGGAGGCTGAGATTTGAGGATCATGGCTCAAAGCCAGCCCCGACTGGAAAGTCTGTGAGACTCTTATCTCCAATCAACCAATCTCAAAGTGGTAGAGTGCTAGCCTTGAGTAAAAAGAGATCAGAGACAGTGCTCAGGCCCTGAGTTCAAGCCCCACGACTGACCAAACAACCACCTCTGACGGGACAACAGGAAGATGGTCCAGGCCTCTGAGGGTCAGAGATCAGGAGCTTTCCTCTCTCAGCCTTAGGAGAAGTTAGGATTACAGGCATGAGCCACCGGTGCCCAGAAAGGGATTTTGTAGTGTGAGCAGGAACAGAAAAGCATCTCTGGAAGAAGGATGGGGGAGGGCAAAGGATGCTGGGGGCGTGGCTCAAGTGGAAGAATATCTGCCTATCATAGAAGAAAGGGTGCTGGGGGTGTGGCTCAAATGGAAGAGCATCTGCCTATCATAGAAGAAAGGATGCTGGGGGCGTGGCTCATATGGTAGCCTATCAAAGGAGAAAGGATGCTGGGGGGCGTTGGCCCAAATGGTAGAAGCCCCTATCAAAGAAGACAAGACCTGCAGCGCTGGAGGGTGTGAAGCTTGTGGTGTGACTGGGAAATGAAGCGCTGTGTGTGCTGAGAGCTGAGCGTGCACACGGGAATATTTGGGGAAGGGGGAGGGGGGCGTCACCCTGAAGAAGTACAGAAGCCGCCAGGTGGTGCTAAGATGTCCACACAGGTTAATCCACTTATTCCTCCCAGCAGTGTTACACTATAATCACTGTCTTAGCACTGCCATTATCTCCACTTTTCAGACAAGGAAACTGAAGCAGAAAAGGATTAAATTGCTTGCCCGGAGTCATTCAACTAGGAAGAATCCCTGTGCTTTATAACACCAGCGTCTGTCCCTTAAACCTTGTCACTTTCTAATGCCAGCATCTGTCCCTTAAACCCCGTGTCTCACATCGGGTTGTGAAGGGCATGGTTATTAGTTAAGGAATTGTTCACACTTCCATAATAAATAAATAGCCCCAAATAGAGTGACTTGAACAAGACAGTTTAGCTTTCTCTCAGGTGTCAGCCCAAAGGGGACAAGGCATTACCTCTTGCACCCATGGCTTCAAATTTGGGTTCAAGGCTGTCCCCTTGACCTCTTTCCCTGTTCCAGGCAGTGGGAAGGGGGAATGGGGCTGAAGACTCTTACCCACATTTCCTTTAAGAGAATGACGCGGAAGCACTTACTTCCCATTGGCCTGAGCCCTATCCTGTGGCCACATTATGCTGCAAAGGAAGCTGGGAAATGTGGTCTCTTCCGCTGAGCGGCCTGCTCAAGTCTGCTGCAAGTCAGAGTCCTGTTATCAAAGAGAACGATGGCTGTTGGACCCTTTGCAGTTTCTTTCTCAGCCCTAGTTCATTGGACTTGGAACTTTATTGTTGAGATGATGATGAACTGCTGGCCTGCATGAGGCCTAGACTTGTGGTTTAGATCACTGCAGAGTCATGCTTGGAGCGTAAAGACGGGAGGAGGGGATGGAAGCAAGGGGCCTATTATTTTATTTGTCCACTTTGGGGGACCTTGCTCCAGGGAGGAGCCAATAGATGAATTTCTTTCTTTCTTTCTTTTTTTTTTTTTTTTGGCTGGTCATGGGACCTAAACTCTGGGCCTGGGCACTGTCCCTCAGCTCTTCAGCTCAAGGCTGGTGCTCTACCACTTGAGCCATAGTGCCACTTCCGGCTTTTTCTGCTTATGTGGTACTGAGGAATCGAACCCAGGGCCTCATGCATGCAAGGCAAGCGCTCTACCACTGAGCCACCTTCCCAGCCCAATAGATGAATTTCTAAGTAGCCCGGATAGGAGATCTTCAGGCCAAGGGAGCTGGTGTGGGGGATGGAATTATCTGAAAACACCTATTGTCTTGGGTCTGGTATCCTTGCAGTGCCATTGGTCCCTCACTGGTATTTCCAGGATTAGCCCCACAGGTAGAACAATGGCTGGCGCCCAGTGCAGCTCTTGGTTAGTTTTCCAGTGTCATTCAAAGCATCTCTGTCCATGGCTTGCCACACTGACCTCTCTGTTTCTCTTGGCCTCAGGACCCCCGGAGCAAACATAAGTTTAAAATCCACACCTACTCCAGCCCGACGTTCTGTGACCACTGCGGGTCGCTGCTGTACGGACTCATCCATCAGGGGATGAAGTGTGACAGTAAGTACCAGCCATCATGGCAGCTCCTTCCTGCCCAGCTCCTTCCGCACAGCAGAGCGGGACACGTACCCCACAGCCCCTGGCATCCTCTCGACCTCTCACCCCTCCACCCTACAGAGTAAAGACTGGCAGCACTCAGTGATTCCTCAAGGCAATCTTGGGTGTCTGGGCCAGGCTTAGCGGACATTGGCTGTGTTTCTCAATGCATTTGTTGGGGTGAGAGGGTTGGCTGGGAGCTGGAGGGGGGGATGCTATTAGCTGTCCTCTGGGTAGCTAGGACTACAGGGTGCAGGTTTAACCCTCTTCAAGCACACACAGAGGCCACGAAGGCCTGGAGGGCAAGCGCATTGGTAAGCACACCTGGAGTCATTCTTTTTCTTTCCTTCATGTTGGCATTGGGGCTTGAACTCAGAGTTGCATGCTCTTGCTTGGCTCAAGGCTGGTGCCCTCCCACATGAGCCACACGTCTACCTCTGGCTTTTTTGTTGTTGTTGTTGTTGGCTAATTGGAGAGAAGTGTCTCATATTTGTTTATCTGTGCTGGATTTGAACCATAATCCTCAACTCTCAGCTTCCTGAGTAGCTAGGATTCCAGGCCTGAGCCACCACCTAGCCACTTGGCTACTTTGGGTCTTTTAGTGGTCGTGACAAGCGACAGGACAAGGTGCACAGTGAGCGTGGACACATCCACGGGTGTAGACAGGCGGTGGCACGATTGTGTGGGGTCCTTCCTGCAGCCCTACCCCAGGGCTTTGACTTTTCTAGTGCAGGTCCTGGGGCTTGAACTCAGGGCCTGGGCACTATCTCTGAGCTTTTTTCCCTCAAGGCTCATACTCTATTACTTGAGCCATGACTCTACTTCCAGGTTTTTGCTGATTCATTGGAGAGCAGAGTCTCATGGACTTTTCTCCCTGGGGTGGCTTCAAACCACGATCTTCACTACAACTAATTACTAACTACTCAGCCTCCTGAGTAGTTGGAGTATCAGGTGTGAGCCACTGGCACCCAGCCATATTTTTAAGGCTGACGCTGTTTGAAGAGGGAGGACCAGCCTCCCAGCAGTACCCACAGTGTGTGTTGGGCAAAGGGAAGAGAGCACCATTCTCTGGCACAGCTGGCACAGGGGGAAAGCAGGTGCAGGCAGGACTGCTCTTAATGGCACAAAGACCCTTGGGGCTCTGTGGCGGGTGGCTCCCGCCGGCTTGGTGGCCTGCTGCAGGTCCAGCAGTGTCCCCGTTACAAGAGGGGGAAGCTCAGAGGGACAGCAGGGGACGGAAGAATGAGAGTGTGGACGTGGCAGGAGAGATTGACAATCATTGGGTGACACAGCGATGAATTTCCCCCAGAGGTGCAAGTGAAAAAGAGAAGAGAGACAGAAACTCACATGGAGAGATGCCTAGGTAGACAGAAAAAGAGAGCTAGTAAAAGCCCAGAGAGATGAAAGGCAAGACAGGTGGGTGGGCACAAGGGTGGGAGGGGGGGGGCGCCCAGCTATACAGACGAGGCCTTTAGCTAGAGAGATGCACAGCCCAGCCAGGCCAGTGCCTGCAGCGGACAGGACACTGATTCCTCTTACCACACCTACACAGGGAAGGTGGGTGAGGGCTCAGGCTGGCATGCGGATCCTGGGCCTTTTGCCCCCTCTCTCCCATCTCTTTTCCACTTTGGTGATCTGTCTGAGCTGCATGGACAGACATGGGTGGGGGAAAAGGGGCTCTCCAGCATCCCCTCCCTGTAGCTCTCTTGGGTCTCGGCCTCTCAAGCTGAGGACCCTTTGGTGAGCATTGCAGTCCTGGCCCATCTCCTGGCCACAGCCATGGACACAGGACCAAAGGTGACCAGTCTGGGGACAGAAGCAAACACATGAAGATGAGGGAAGGCCAGACAGGGGTGGCAGACGTGCTGCTTTCTTTCTTTCTTTCTTTCTTTCTTTCTTTCTTTCTTTCTTTCTTTCTTTCTTTCTTTCTTTCTTTCTTTCTTTCTTTCTTTCTTTCTTTCTTTCTTTCTTTCTTTCTTCCTTCCTTCCTTCTTTTCTTCCTTCCTTCCTTCCTTCCTTCCTTTCTTTCATCGGTCATGGGGCTTGAAGTCTGGGCTTGGACACTATTCCTGAACTCTTCAGCTCAAGGCGAGCACTCTACCACTTGAGCCACAGTGACACTTGCAGTTTTCTGGTGGTTCATTGGAGATAAGAGTCTCACAGAGACTTCTTTCCTGCCTGGGCTGGCTTTGAACTACCATCCTCAGATCTCAGGCTCCTGAGTAGCTAGGATTACGGTGTGAGCCACTGGTGCCTGGCAGACATACTGCTTTCTTCTTATCCTGGCCCTACTGGCTTTCCTGGAACTGGTTATGGACATTAAGTCTACCCAAGCTGGGCGCTGGTGGCTCACGCTTGTAATCCTAGCTACTCAGGAGGCTGAGATCTGAGGACTGCGGTTCAAAGCCAGCCCGGGTAGGAAAGTCCCTGAGACTCTTATCTCCAATGAACCACCAGATGACTGGAAGTGGTGTTGTGGCTCAAAGTGATAGAGTGCTAGCCTTGAGCTGAAGAGCTAGGGGACAGTGCCCAGGCCCAGAGTTCAAGCCCCACGACTGGGGGAAATAAAAAAGTCTGAACAGACCTCTGCAAGGTCCATGTCTGTCCCCTGCTGCTGTGGCAGTGGCTGTGGGTACAGGACACAGCCCAGGATACTTACCTCTCAGGGAGTGGTTCAGGGCCCACCCTGGGTGGACACAAAACCCTGATCCTCTGGGGAGATTGCGGCAGGCAGGAGGAAGGCAGGTGTCTATTGCCTGTCAAGCAAGGTCTCGGCAGGCCTGGGTGGGGTAGGGGCCATGGTGGGGCTAGCCTGAGCCGCATTCTCTGCCCGCACAGCCTGCATGATGAACGTGCACAAGCGCTGCGTGATGAACGTTCCCAGCTTGTGCGGCACGGACCACACCGAGCGCCGCGGCCGCATCTACATCCAGGCGCACATCGACAGGGAAGTCCTCATCGTGGTCGGTAGGTGGCCGGGAGCTCCGCCCAGCCTGGGCATCTGAGGGTGGGGGTGGGGTTGAGAGGTCGCAGGGGTGGGGAGATGCGGGCTGTGCCCCTCCCCTCCCCCTTGGGCGTCCTTCCTTGGACCTGGCTAGCACCCCAGGCTGGCTTGTATTCACAGTTGGCCATCTGAGCCCCTGGACTTTTCCTTCTTGCAAGGCTTTTAAATTAACACATGATAATTAAATAGAGAAACATATCCACGACGCAGTGTGGATTGTTGCTAAGTGGATAATATGGAACGATTAGATCAAGCCAGGCACCAGTGGCTCACGCCTGTCATCCTAGCTACTCAGGAGGCTGAGATCTGAGGATCGTGGTTCAAAGCCAGCCTGGGTAGGGAAGTCTGTGACACTCTTATCTCCAATGAACCACCAGAAAACCGGAAGTGGTGCTGTGGCTCCAAGTGGTAGAGCACTAACCTCGAGTAAAAAAGCTCAGGGGCAGTGTCCAGACCCTGAGTTTTCAAGCCCTAGGACTGGCACACCCCCAAAAAATTCAAATGAAGGCAATTAGCAAGCCTATCCCCTCAAATGTTGGCTTTTTTTTTTTTTTGGGTCCAGTTGTGGGGCCTGAACTCTGGGCCTGGGTGCTGTCCCTCAGCTCTTCAGCTCAAGGCTAGCGCTCTACCACTTGAGCCACAGCGCCACTTCCGGCTTTTTTCTTTTTGCTTATGTGGTGCTGAGGAATCGAACCCAGGGCCTCATGCATGCAAGGCAAGCGCTCTACTACTGAGCCACCTTCCCAGCCCTCAAATGTTGGCTTTTTCCTTGTGTTGAGGTCAAAGGATTTTCAACTTTCATAAGCATCTTCCACCCCTTCTCCACCCCTCTTTCCTGTTCATGGTGTCCCGGTCTTCTGCGGTAGATTTATGGCTTTCCTGATTCAGACAACAGAGAAGGGTGTTTGCCTTCTCTCCACATTTTCCCAGTGTTAAAAAAATTGGAGTGTGACAGTGCCATGGTTGGAAAAAAGGAGGGGGAGGGGCGCGCAACCCAGGGAGCACCCTGGGGCTCTACTGTGGATTTGAAATCATTTTCTTTAGCCTCAATTTCACTGTTACATTATTCTGTGTACCTTGTACACCTCTGAACTATTTTATAATGTTAAGAAAGAGAGATGGTTCAGCCTGCAGGCCAGGTGCCATGGGGGAGAGGCGGGGGGGGGGGGAGAGGGAAGGGGAGAGGAGGAGGGAGGGAGGGAGGGAGGCAGGTGCTGCTGCTGTTCACGCACTGAGCTCTCCAGGCCTGATTGGAACAGGCAAAATGAACATCTAGCTGTGCCAGGCAGCGACTGCTCAGCTGGAAGCTACCATAGGAGCCAGCCCCGGACCAGACACGAATGGAACAGAAATGGTGAAGGATTCACTCTCAGTCTTAATGACCTAACTGGCTGTAGACGTATAACTAACTGATCATTTGCATAATAAGGTTTTGTGAGTTGCCCCTTTCCCCTTCCTTCCTTCCTTCCTCCCTCCCTCTCTCCCTCCCTCCCTCCCTCCCTTCCTCCCTTCCTTCCTTCCTTCCTCCCTCCCTCCCTTTCTCCCTCCCTTCCACCTTCCCTCCCTCCCTCCCTCCCTTCCTTCCTCCCTCCCTTCCACCTTCCCTCCCTCCCTCCCTCCCTCCCTCCTTCCTTCCTTCCTCCCTCCTTCCCTCCCTTTCTCCCTCCCTTCCACCTTCCCTCCTTCCCTCCCTCCCTCCTTCCCTCCTTCCTTCCTTCCTTCCTTCCTCCCTCCCTTTCTCCCTCCCTTCCACCTTCCCTCCTTCCCTCCCTCCTTCCCTCCCTCCTTCCCTCCCTCCTTCCCTCCCTCCCTCCCTCCCTCCCTCCCTCCTTCCTTCCTTCCTTCCTTCCTTCCTTCCTTCCTTCCTTCCTTCCTTCCTTCCTTCTTTCCTCTTTTAATTTTTCTTCTTTTCCTTCTGTCCTTCCTTTCTTCTCTCTTCCTTCCCTTCCTTCCTCTCTTTCTCTTTTTTTCTTTGTTCTGGAGCTTGAACTCAGATCCCTGAGTATTGTCCCTTTGTTTGCTCAAGACTAGGGCTCAATCACTTAAGCCATGCCTCCACTTCTGGTTTTTCTTTGGTGATTAACTGGAGTGAAAAGTCATACGGACTTTTCTTCTTGGGCTGGCTTCAAACCAGGATCCTCAGATCTCAGCCTCCTGAATAGTTAGGATTACAGGCGTGAGCCCTAGTCCCTCAACTTGATTCCTCTTTCAAATGGCAATTTATGAAACACAGCGAGCTTTGAAAGAATGTACACCCCATCATAATTTCTCCTTCAGAGGAAAGATGGAGATCGCTTGCTCCCAACGGGGCGCTTTGGGGGCCCCAGGGAAGAATCCTGTAGCCACAGGTTCCAGGGGAGCACTTTCTCTGAATCTGTAAAGCACCGCTAGGACTGAGGGGTGAAAGTGAGGCTCTGCTCCCCTCTAGTGTCACAATTTGGGAACTACACTTGTGTCCAAACCCTGATAAGCCGGCTCTTTCAACCCTCTCATTTCATGAATGAAGCTGTTCAGGCTCAGTGCTCATACCATTAAAAATAATAAAACAACAGGTGGTATTTGTTGAATTTTTGTATGTGTCAATCATGTAAAATATTTTCAGGCAGTATCTGTGTGTGTGTGTGTGCGTGTGCGCTTCTGTTCATCTCCTAAGGCCACAGTGACACATTTCACATATCAGGTGGTGTTCATTCTCAGGGTCCTGGAAGTGAGAGGTGTGGAGTTGAGTCAGCAGCAGGTTGGGTCTGATCTAGGCACTCTGTGAATGTCTGTTTCTGTCTCCTCTCCTCACTTCTACTGGTCGATGGTACTCTGGGTCCCTTGTCTTGTAGACGCAGCATTCGCATTCGGCCGTCTGCCTCTGTCATCTTGTGTTCTTCCTTGTGTCTCTGTGTCCAGATTCCTGTCACTGAGACTTCAGCCACTGGCTGAGGGCACCATTCCTGAGTGGCCTCATCTTCACCTGCTCACACCTGCAAAGGCCCTACATCCAAATAAGGTCACATTCACAGGACCATGATGAGAACTTGAACATAGCTTTGGATGTGGGGGGTGGTGAGGCACAATTCAAACCATAGCAGACAGTAGGAAAGGTGGGGCTTCCTTAAACCTGTAGGCGGAGCTTCTACATTCGGAGGGCAAAGACAGCATTCATCAGATTGTAGACCATTTGTTGACTGATTCCTTCCTTCCTTCCTTCCTTCCTTCCTTCCTTCCTTCCTTCCTTCCTTCCTTCCTTCCTTCCTTCCTTCCCTCCCTCCCTCCCTCCCTCCTTTCCTTTCCTTTCTTTCCTCTTTTGTGCCAGTTTTGAGGCCTTGGACTTAGGGACGTGGACGCTGTCCCTGAGCTTTTGTGCTCAAGGCTGGCACTCTACCACTTGAGCCACATCTCCACTCCCAGCTCTTTGCTAATTCATTGGAGATAAGAGTTTCACAGATTTTTTTCCTGCACAAGCTGGCTTTGAACTGCGATCCTTAGATCTCCACTTCCTGAGTAGCTAGGGTTACCGGTCCATAGATTTCTAAGTGCTTTGATTAAGGGGCTTCCCGGGGTGGGGGTGGGGTGGAGGAGTATGTTTCTATTACAGGGAACCCGGGAGCTCTGAACAGAGTCACCCACAGGACAGCGATGCCCTATGTCACTGTGGTCCGCGGCGCCTCTTCAGCAGCCAGCATGGGTACCAGAGTCCCAGTGCTTCAGCTTCATTCTCTAAACACGAGTTAGGATGGGGCTTTCGGCTCATGTGAGGAGTGAGGGATACAGAAATGGCTCCGAGAGCCTGTGATCTCCATCAGAACCTCTCGAATCTGGTCCCACAAGACTGCACCCTGTAGCACCAAGACAGGTCCCTGGGCACCCCCCCCCCCCAAGAGATACGTCTGTCACACTGCAGGTCAGGCAGTGCTATGGGATGACCCAGTTTCCCCCAAATCCATGTATCCCCCAATATGCTGGCATTTGGAGATCGAGCCTTTGGAAAGCCACTAGGGTTACAAGAGGTCGTAGTGTGGGGGCTTGTGACAGGATTAGTGGCCTCCTGATGGATAGGGGTTGAGACTGATTTGTTTTTCTTCCCCTCTTTCCTGTGGGAAGACTCAGCAAGTGGCTGGCCGTGAGCCAGCCCTGGGTCCTTACCAGGAACCAACTCTGTGGTGGAGTTCTCAGCTTCCAGAATGGTGAGAAATAACTGTGTCTAGCCTGGTGCTGGTGACTCACACCAGTCATCCTACATACTCAGGAGGCTGAGATCTGAGGATGGAAGTTCGAAGCCAGCCAGGGCAGGAAAGTCCCGGAGACTCTTATCTCCAGTAAACCATCAGAAAACCAGAAGTGGCGCTGTGGCTCGAAGTGTTAGAGTGCTCACCTTGAGCAAAAGAGTTCTGGGACAGCGCCCAAGCCCTGAGTTCAAGCCCCATGATAGACCAAAAAAACAAACAAACAAACAACAACCCCCAAACAAGCAAACAACCCACCCCTGAAAAAAACCCAAGCAAGCAGAGAAACAGGTGTCGGTTGATTCAGCGCCCCCTATGGGTGGTATTTCATTATAGCACCCAAACTGCTAAAACCCTCCTTGCCTTGGGTTTTTAGGGTTAGTGCTTGGTTAGAGGAATTTCCTGGGCTAGTGGCTCCTGCGTGAGTGTCACCTGAGACACCGTGAGTGCCAGTAGCCAGCACTCAACACCAGCCAGGCAGGGGAGCAGAGCAGGGCCCCCCCCCCCCCCCGCCAGAACCCAGGTATACGCATCTTCGGGTGTCATGGTCGGGGCTCTGGGTTCCTTCCTCCTTTGTGGATCAGAAAGGAGGAAGCGCTGCAGGTCTTCCGGGGGGCATTGCACAAAGGCTCTGTGCCAGTGGCCTGTGGCACTTGGTGAATTCTTGCTTTAGAGGCACACGAAAGAGCTAGGACTTAGCACTCAGCACTGGCCCAGGCCACTGCCTTCGTAAACTCTCTGAGAATCCC